ACTTGTTTGGATGGTTTCGAGAATGTTCCTGGCGATACTGGTGAAAAGATGAAGAATTTGTTGAAGACGTCAAAAGAAATGACCGCCAATGGGCTTGTGATGGTGGGTGAGGTTACATCCCTTGTGACCACTTTGTGGCAGAAGCTGGGACTGCTACAAACGGGGCGGCAACTTCGAACAGAGCATTCCAATGAAGAAAAGGAAGAGCCATCTTGGGTGAGCGACAGACGAGGGCTACTCGAGGCCACTGGAGCTAACATCAAGGCGAATGTGGTGGTGGCTAAAGACGGGAGTGGAAAGTACAAGACAATAACTGAAGCCCTTAAAGAGGTACCATTGAAGAGCAATACAACCTTTGTGATTTATGTGAAGGAAGGAGTTTATGAAGAGCAAGTGATGGTGGACAAAAAAATGACCTACGTCATGATGATTGGAGACGGCCCGACTAAGACCAAGATCACAGGTAGCAAGAATGTCGTTGATGGAACACCCACATTCAAAAGTGCTACCTTTGGTAAGTTACCATCTAGTTTATAATCATATTCATACGAATTCAATAACGGAATTTAACATGATTTCATATTCTTAACAGCGGCGATCGGATCCAACTTCATTGGAAAAGACTTGTGGTTCGATAACTCAGCTGGGCCTAAGAAACACCAGGCCGTGGCACTCCGAGTTCAATCCGACATGTCAATCTTCTACAATTGTAGAATGGACGGCTATCAAGATACTCTCTACCCCCAAACCAACCGTCAATTCTATCGAGATTGCACAATCTCCGGTACCGTTGATTTCATCTTTGGCAATGCTGCTGTCGTGTTACAGAACTGTAAGATCTTAGTGAGAAAGCCAATGCCGAATCAAACATGCTTTGTCACTGCCCAAGGTCGAATGGAGATTGATGAGCCCACTGGTATCGTCCTTCAAAATTGCATCATCTCTTCCGACCCTGAGTTCTACCCCATTCGCCATACGAGTAAGTCCTACCTTGGTCGCCCATGGAAGAAGTATTCAAGAACCGTAATCATGCAATGCCAAATCGACGACTTGATCCATCCTGAAGGTTGGATGCGATGGAGTGATGATTCTACTCTTAAGACATTGTTTTACACAGAGTTCGATAACAGAGGACCTGGTGCGCCAAAAGAAAATAGAGTTAAGTGGCAGGGAATTAAACAGATCACAACAAAACAGGCCATCAATTTCACCCCTTCGATGTTTATTCATGGTGATTCTTGGATCAAGAGCAGTGGAATACCGTACACGGGTGGCATGATGAAAATCTAAAACCAAGGGAATAGAGCTCCTAGAATTCATGAGTTGAAGCTTTTTGTTTATTTGTCCTAATCTACTTTTTGGGCATGACAATGGTCTAAAACCAAGTGAATAGGACAAAATTTTATTTAAAAACATTAATTTATCGTATAGTTTGAGATTTTGAATAAACGATTTTTTCTCTTTTTTGGATCCCCGTTACAATATGTTATAGTTTAAATTCCCTGAACCCATACGTGTTTTTGTGAGTCTTAGTGTATCGGGTTTGTTTGGTTATGTACCCATATTTTTCTGCCGCGTCGTGCATTTTATGTCATTGCCCTTTGTCCCACTTCGATTTGTCTAGATGTGATCCAAGTGGGTTCAAGTGCTTGAATAATGTATCTAGTGATATTTGGGTTATAGTGAGGTTAGACGAACACGACTCTTCACAATAGTATGATATTGTTCACTTTGAGCATAAACTCTCATGACTTTGCTTTGGGTTTCCCCAAAAGGCCTTATATACCAATGGAGTTAGTATTCCTCACATATAAACCAGATCATTCCCTAAATTAGCCGATGTGGGACTTTCATCATCCAGCAATGGTTATTTCTCAAACTAAATAATTTTATCAATTAAGATCAAATCAATTTAAAAATTGTTAATGTATAAATTTTATGAGGAATAATCTTCAAATTTTTTTTTACTTATTTGAAAATTATTTATGATTTTAGAAAAATTGTATGCAGATTTTAAATCAAATCAAGAGGAAATAATTATAAATCACTCCACTAAATTTCTAAATAAAATTAGTTTATAAAAGTATTAATTTAGAAATTTAAATCTTAAAATTAGTCTCAATTATTAAATTATTAGGATTTTCTTTTTGTTAATTTCTATTAAAAAATGAATCTATAATAATTTTTTCAATAAAAATGAAAATATGGATTTTCTTTGAAATGGATTTTTGAAGGACAGTACCGGACGACATGGGTGTGCCGGTATTGCGCCCTAGCCCGCGTGTTGGAGGTTGCTACATACACCCGCTATCCGGTACGGTATTCGTAAATGACTCGGCATGGGCACGGGAGGGCCAATACCTCTATAGAACCCAGATGGATGGATGTTCGGGAAGTCCCAATAAGATGAAAGACACGCGGGCCCATTCTCGATGGCATGACCGTGCGAGTTATGATGGCCGACGACATCCCGAGACTCGGGGTGGCGTCAAGATATATAGACCCGTCTATGGGGATCGAGATGACAAATGAGATGCGACGTTGCATTGAGAGACCTTGGCTCGAGCAGAGGCAAGGTAGAGCCGAATGACTTGGCCTAGTGTAGAGGCAAGTCGGATGTGTCGCAGACAATTGAACATGCACGCGCAGGCGGCGTGTGTGGTTGAACAAGCTTGGATTCCGCACAAGCGATATTGGATTGGCGAAGACAAACTTCGCCTAAGGTCCGACGAAGCCACAAAGTCGGGGCGAAAAATATATATGGGGCTTGATTCCCCTTAAGGCTAGTCGTGAGCGTGTCAAGATCACGATGCCACACGGTATAAAATGTAGGACCGTGACACTGATCAGGGTTCCTTCCTTTCAAACAATGCCAGTATTTGGATATAGTAGCCACATGATTGCCCCCAAAATCTATAACAATTTTTGAGAGAATGACTATGTTTGTGTCAGTGTCGCGTGAAACTTGAGGGCACGAGATTGCTAGTCTTGGAAGCAGCTGATCAGTTAGATCGGCTAGGAAACAAGAAAGCACGTGGGACGATAGCAATGGCCAAGATAAATTTTCTTACATCTAATCGAAGTTATTTAAGTTCATGACCTTTCATAAATGTTTTAAACCTATCTTTGGAGTAGAAGAATGACTAGAATATTGAACGAAAAGCCAACCTATCTAATTGTCGTTCTTTTGGACTTACAAACATCTTAGTACTAGAATATTGAACGAAAAGCCAACCTATCTAATTGTCGTTCTTTTGGACTTACAAACATCTTAGTTACCACGACATCGTTCATTTTTTGTTAACCATTTAACAGATTTCTACCCTTCTCCTTTCTCGTTTTTTTCATTTTTTGACCACGTCTCCATTAATACATTTAACAGATTTCTACCCTTCTCCTTTCTCGTTTTTTTCATTTTTTGACCACGTCTCCATTAATACCTTGGTGAAACATGGCACAGGTTGCAGCAACCAATATGGCATTGCAGATTCTGGACATGGCAATGCAAGTTCATGGTGCAGGTGGCTTATCTTCTGACACTGTTCTTGCTCATCTCTGGGCTGCTGCAAGAACCTTGAGAATAGCGGATGGCCCTGATGAAGTTCATTTTGGAACCATTGCCAAGCTGGAGCTTCGGAGATCTAAGCTTTGAAGATGGCCCTGATGAAGTTCATTTTGGAACCATTGCCAAGCTGGAGCTTCGGAGATCTAAGCTTTGAAAATTGAAAGGAAAAATCTCTCGAACCAAATGAAATATTAGGAACCGATAAAATCGATCCTCAATGTTTCCAAAGAAATTGATATCTTGACATTTCTATCGACAATCAAAACCTTATTCGAAAACTTAGTGTTATTTTTTTTATATCAAATATTAAAATTAATTTTTATTTTTAAGAAGAAAAAACATCAATTTTTTTTAGTTCGATCCTACGGGGTAGGGTTTTGAATCTCTTGACCACATGATCGAAATTGGTTAAAGCTCAACATTATTTAACTAAACAGAATAGCTCCCAAATGACGCAATCCTTGAGTAGTTTATGTAGCTTATGGGACAATTAAGGAAAAATGAGTAGTTTTCTTAATGACGCAATCCTTGAGTAGTTTATGTAGCTTATGGGACAATTAAGGAAAAATGAGTAGTTTTCTTTTTCACAACAAGTAAGGTTAAAGGTCTCGTTATCAATCCTAAACAAGTAAAGGTTAATGTTCATTTTTGTTGCATCTTTATTAAAATTTATTTATCCCTACAAAAGCTTTAGATTTATGAGTTGTATTCATTTTTGTTGCATCTTTATTAAAATTTATTTATCCCTACAAAAGCTTTAGATTTATGAGTTGTATTTTGACTGATCACAAATTTTTATATTAATTTTATCTGAGCTAATAAGAAAAAAAAAATTTAATTTAAATGTTTAGCATAATCAACGGGGATTTTGAGCACAAAATTAGCAAAATTAACTAAATTAATAATTTAAATGTTTAGCATAATCAACGGGGATTTTGAGCACAAAATTAGCAAAATTAACTAAATTAATCTTAAGTTTAGCAAAAATCATCTAAATTTAGATACGAAAATTTTATTTAAGAAAAAAAAATAATAAAAATGATTGGTTAGAAGACTCCTAACTCTAACAATATTTACTTCAATTTAGAAACTCTGTTAAAATTTTCTCATATAAAAACAGGTCATTTGTCAAACGGAGAGAAATCAAGGCAGCAACTTCCCATCTTCTATTACCCAAGAAAACAAAACAAAAAAAAAAAATAATAATAATAATAAAACAGCTTTTGAGATTTGTAGCGAAGAAACATGGCGTATGACCGCGGTGGATGCAAGGACAATAAGGCTGCCCTGGTTGGGTTGTTGTCTCTGTTTTTGGTTGCCTTGGTTAATGGTGTAAATGGCGCGGGAGAGGACCATGGCTCCTCTAATGCTGACATTAAGACTCTATGTGAGCCCACTACT